TTTAACGGCCTTTCGTCCCTTCAAATTAAACTTTGGATCAGTAGTAGCTCCAGTTTTCTTCTTTTCATGCACCACCCTGCGAATGGTCCACTCTGGAACGCCTGTCATACTTTCACAACGCGCGAGTGCATCTCCCTGCTACATAGTTCTGTTCAGATAATTGAACACGTTGAGCACGATTTCTTTCGCGTCCCTCTTCAGTGCTTTACGAAGCCGTCTACTTGGTCCCTGGCTTTCAGTACTTCCACTCGTGCCATTTGTACTCTCCATGGTTAAGTATAACCAAAACAGTAACCACAGAAACCACAACAATAACAATCACACAACAATTCTTATAAAAACACACAATATGCGATCGCTCAACGAAACACGTTCCAATGCGTTGCCGACGCCTGAGTCTGCCGGTCGAGGCGCGTCTTTGATTTCATTGGTTCTACCAGCGGAGAACAATCAGCCATTATTTCCATCTCTGTCTGTGCTGTTGACCACCGCAAAGCCACAGAAACGACATATGTCGTACGCTATACGGCTGTACTGGAAGGAAGCCGGGATCGAGCTCTGATCACGTGTTGATCACGCGTATGAGTCATTACAGTTTTAAATAGTTGTAGTATATGCACTCAAGGACATGTCTCAACATGCAGTAACATGCAGCCTCCTGCGTCCGTTTGTTAAGTCATATTGCAAAACTTTTATAGCACCCTTTGTATTTCCAATAACTCGAACAATTCGCGTATTTTTCCGTCTGTAACAGTATAAACTTTGTCAAGCCAAAAGATCACGTTTTTCTAAAATATGTATTTCGTGTTGTTGCTATAAAGTTTATTCTCCATTCACCAATTCTAAACGGAACGCCACTGGCATTCAGCTAAACAATCGCGCGCACTGAGTGCTTCCATAGCGCACCACGAGTTTGCTTTGCGTTCCATACCGTTCCATAGGTGAACTCCCTGGCGCAGATGCCTTATTGCTGACATAACATCTCGAGACAATCCATCGCGCTTATGCATCAGATATCAGACCGAAACTGTTTATTTTCGAGTGCCGAGTTATTCGATTCCGATAACAGTCACTTATATAGGTAAGAGCAATATAAATATTTTACGCATGAGGTTTACTAATAATGTACATAGTCATATTTTTGCGATAAGATCTGATGTTGCAATCGATTCGGCGTTTTAATAGGAAAGTTAGAAACAATACTGTTTAAAATTATGTTTTCTTATATTTATGCATAAATTCAAATGCGTCGAGGCGTACGTGCACAAAGAAATTTATGCATATAATAAATTATTGCAAATAACTATTTAAAGTTGATTTATGAACGATTTCTGTATCAGTGCAATTACTATTATAATACCAGAGCTGTTTAATATGAAGGATATTAAAAATAATGTTCTACAGTATAACAGTTTAAACGTGTTTGTGCAGAAGTATCTTTAAGATGTATCAACTTTATGGACAGGCAAGTAATCCAATCTTCTCGATATGATTTTGGACAGCGGCTTAGATCTACAAGGTAAATTAGTTTCGCCGGTACAACTATTTCATTGTGATTAGGGTGTTTTTATTTCCGCTTATGGTAACTAGTCGAAAGCTAAATATGCCTTTGATGTTTCGGCTGTCATGGAAACCTTTTCCTTGATTCAATTTATGTACCTCTGTACAAGAACCAGGCGCGCCCAGATAAGACCCCGCAACAAAGCACTGCTCACAAGTCTGGGAAGCTGCTGCCGCGACCACAATGTCCATAATGGATGCGGTTTCGAGTAGAGCTACCTGACTGACCAGTGTGCCTTAATAGCCTTCAAAAGACTAGTAATTTTGAATAAGGTTTTCTATAGTGGGCTTGGATGCAACCTTGGTGGTACTCCGCTATTCAGGCTCTACCTTCGCGGCTGCGTCAGTACGAAAAATATTTAAATTGATAGCCATGTCAACCGGAACGGAATTATTGAACATTTGTGGTTTCATTTTTGACCAGATTAGGATAACTGCGGTATTAAAAATACGAGGGCTGTTTCAAAAATAGGGTTCACACATCTTTTTCAGGCACGAGGAATTTTTTATTTGAAAAAACGAATTCACCACTGGAAACGTTGATCTACAGGGTGACTTCGAAGTTGAGTCATTTATTTTAACAGTGAGTAGATCTGATCAAAAGAAATGTTTTTTTCCTTTACCATTTTTCTGGTAAAATTAAAGTAACAAAGTTATAGCCCTTTGGAAGTTTGAGTCAATAATAATATTATGTGCTCGTGTTTGGTTCATCGCATCGGAAACTAAAAAGCGAAAGAATTTGGAACGATGTTTTTACAATTATTTTAGTCTGATGTATACAGTCAGTGTCAGTCGGTAACGCGTTTGAATAGTGGTGTCTGTTGCGTGGCTCAAACGAAATAAAAAAATGGCACATGTTTATGCGGATCGGTTTCCCAATCGAGTGCAACCAACCCCTCGTGCTTTTGTTAATGTAGTACAACGGGCTCGTGAATCAGGTGACTTAAGACCACACAGGGGACTGCATGCCGTTGCTCCAAGACCTCACGATCAAATACAGGTCCGCACTGAAATACTTGTCGGGAGGATACTTTATAAAACAAGGTAAACAAATTTTTTTTTATTTTTTTTATTTTTACACACATATTTTGGTTTATCTTCCTTCTACAATCATTATCTGAAAATTAATGACTCAACTTCAAAGCTATTTTCCTCCAGAGTCGTCATTTTTTTAAACGTGAAATCCACTTTTCTCACTGGCGTTGACCCCGATCAAGGACTCCATCGCAAATAGGCGCTTCTTGTTGGGATCGGTGGTGGGGGAGCCGACAAACACGACGGTGTTGCCAGATCTCGCCTAGTATCACGCGCGGAAACGTTACAGCGTTGGGAACGATATTTTTGAGACAACCCTCGTATTTAGGCTTTGTCTTAGTTGTTATGCATGTATAGAAAAAACAAGAGAGCTTATGCTGCATCGTCAATGACACGCCACCGATGAAAGTATGAGTAAGTTGAAGTGCCGGCAATAATACCATGAGTACGGCTCTTAATACGCGTTCCATTTGCACTTGAAATTTGAAGAGTCGGCTAAGAGGCACATTACAAAACGTACGGCGACAGTGCCCGATGTCTTTGAAAGAAAAGCGTTTGTTTACTGAATTATGTGACATCAATAAAATTTTTCGTTTTTACTTCCCACGCCAATACGTTGGAGAAATATTGTGAACGAGAAAAATCGAATTCAAGACTTTTTAGAGGTTTTAAAACGTATACATGTAAACACGGTGTCAGAAAGAAAATTGAAAGTAGTTTTATGACCAAACTGGAGATATCGAAAATCTGTTTTCGTGGCAACCTTGATAATGCTACTAGTGCATATTTTAAAATTATTTTAAAATATACAGGTTGTTCCACAACGTCGTACCATAGCAAACATATATTTTCTTAAATAGAACACCCTATATTTTAGTGCATAATTGAATAGAGCTTCTAAAAACAATAAGTTTGATACATATAAGATATATATAAATTTTCTTTACATCGATTTTAAGCTGATCTGAAAGAAATGATGAAATATCTTTCTGTTTATACAGGGTATCCGAAAACGCAAAATGTACCTTTTCTCATAAATTTCAAATGGAACACCCTGTATATTTCTACATCATTAAATAGCTGTCCTTAAAACCAATGATAATACATTTTTTTGAACTAAAATTTATCTAAATATCTTCAAAAATGGCGGAGCTGTGAACCGTCAAAGTTGAGCATTTTTTCAGACATTCCACCAATGTCTAAACAATTGACAATTGAAATCGTATGTTATATGATATCGAGCTTTTTGTTTTTAGAAGCTCTATCTGAATATGCAATAAAATATGGGGAAAAAATGATGCGTTATAGAATACCCTGTTATTAATTTTCAGATAATGATTGTAGAAGGAAGATAAACCAAAATATGTGTGTAAAAATAAAAAAAAATTATACAAAAAATTTACCTTGTTTTATAAAGTATCCTCTCGACAAGTATTTCAGTGCGGACCTGTATTTGATCGTGAGGTCTTGGAGCACCGGCATGCCGTCCCGTGTGAGGTCTTAAGTCACCTGATTCACGAGCCCGTTGTACTACATTAACAAAGGCACGAGGGGTTGGTTGCACTCGATTGGGAAACCGATCCGCATAAACATGTGCCATTTTTTATTTCGTTTGAGCCACGCAACAGACACCACTATTCACTCACGCGTTACCGACTGACACTGACTGTATACAACTGAATAAAATAATTGTAAAAACATCGTTCCAAATTCTTTCGCTTTTTTGTTTCCGATGCGATGAACCGATAACGCGGATTATATCCGTTGTCGCCAAACACGAGCACATAATATTATTATTGAGACAGGGCGGTACTCAAACTTCCAAAGGGCTATAACTTTGTTACTTTAATTTTACCAGAAAAATGTTATAGGAAAAAAACATTTCTTTCGATCAGATCTACTCACTGTTAAAATAAATGACTCAACTTCGAAGTCAGCCTGTATATTAAAATAAATTTAAAATATGCCTTAGTAATATATCAAGGTCAACACCATAACAGATGTTTGATATATTTTCCAGTTTGCTGAAAAACCTACTTTCAATTTTTGTTGGGACACCCTGTATACACTGAACATCACGAAAATCTCCGGCAGTCTGTCGGTCCATCTGTACGCTTATCCTTGACCAATGATAACTCGGAAAATACCACTCAAATTTTGATGAAATGACAGATTATACTGTAATAAGGTGAGATGTAGGATTTAAAATTTGGGATAAGGTTAAATAATCTTGACTACGAGTAAAAAGTGTCAATTTTTCAAGGTCTAGGAAATTCCGGGATCTACATGTTTCTGCATAACATTATTTTAAAACCCAGGAGATATAGGAATTTCTACCTAAATCTAAATCAGCATATTACAGCTGATAAGAATTTCGCAATGTATGAGTCACGTTTTACGATCAATTTCCACATTCAATAAAAACTCAGAAATAACTGTGGCAGGCATTGAACAATGGATATTTCATACCCTTATCTTATCAACTGGTTATCTAAAGGTACACAGAAGGTGTTCCGTGCACTCGGTAACACAGCGAAACAATTTCGCTGATCTAAATGATATACTGGCTTGTGTCAGTTAATACAGCCACCTACAAATAATTTCACGCAGATGTTAAAAGTAGAATCAACAGTGATGTCATTGCGTACCGTACGCGAGCATTTCAAATCCCATAAAATAGGTGATCTTTGTGACGAATAGTAAACAGTGCTCGTAAACTACGAAATTAAACACTAGCGTAGTATACACAAAAGTATAGTCAGATAAAAGTGATTTGTTTAGCCGGTTAAATTCTGGCACGTTTGTCGGTATATTAGGTATCTAGTTTCAACTTGACGTTGATCGATTGGCTGGCAAATACATGGTGAACCAGAACGGTGGTGGGGATAAGTAGCTCGGAGCTCGGAAATTTAGTCGCCATGGAGCGTTCCATCGGTAAGCAGCGTGCGTTCTGTGTTATGGCTTATTACAAAATAAATTATCTTCTCAATGCTTTGTAATTTGTTTTCTATGATTTTTTAAAATCCGTCCGACTTGATGACCCACCCGGTATTAAGCCGGGGAGTAGAGGAATCTATAGATTACACATTTAATCAGGTGCAACACGGATCTCCAATTTCTGAGTATGACAACTTTTTCATAACAAATTGAAGGTTTCTTACAGGAAGCAACGCTTTTTTGAGTGCAAACATTCTTGACGAAAATGATCTCTTGCCTGACTTCAAAATACTGTAGAACCTTCTCGACTTGAATACACTATTTATTAATGAATTACTTTTATTATCAATATTATTTAATCCTATTTTCACCGAATTTTACAAAAGTGTGTTATTGATGTAATTCATAAAAAATTGCATATCTCAATTTCTGAGCAAGCTCTGTACGTTTGAATGCTCAAATATCTTGGAATAAACTTCCCCGATAAGAGCTGTATTTTATGTATCGTTTGTGCTTTAGAACTGTTGCTTTGACAAGGTTTCTTTCAAAAATATTTGATAACCTCATTATTTGTATTGATACATAAGTTAGTTGAACCTTTTACTTTGCAGGCAATGCTTTCTCAGTTGACGAGTAACTGTTACCATTATACAGGGTGGCCCATCCATGTGTAGTCATAAACAAATACATTTTGGGAAAATCTATTTATGGCATGTTATACATGACATTTGAGGGCGCATTTCTAAAATATTGGCAATTATACAGGGTGTCCCAATGTTGACCTACATATCAAAGTTGTGATTTTTAAATGGATGCCTCAAATTTTATTGCATATTTGGATTTTTTTTTCAGGTACACCTTGATTCAACCATCGCAATATGTAGCTGGAAAGGAAGATGAAGCAACTCGAAACTCAAGATGTAACGAAGACTTTTTATTTGATCTTACCATTCTTTATGCACATCAGTATGGCGTGCGACATCAGCAACGTTAGAGAATACAACTGTAGGGGGGAGGGTGGAAGCCTTGCAAAGCTCACATGCAACTGCTTGCCAGATGCTGAGGTATGAATCAAATGAATGAGTCAACAATAATAAAAGTAACCATTCATTTTTATATTAATATTGAGTGCATTGAATAAAAGTACAAAATCAGTGAAATGTCCTTTTTACGGACTGGAAGTGTCGGTTCAAGAGGATTGCTCGTATAAAAGAAAACCAACAAAATCGTGTTTTCAATGAAAACTGAATATATTGAAGAAACTGGGATATTAAAATGTATATAAATGTTTTTAATATAAACAAAAAACTGGTAGTCTTACTTTGACCCGCCAAAAACGGTGACTACAACTATATTTCCCTCGCCCATCGCGTGGGTAATGAATTATTTATTTCTAATTGTCTAAAAAGAAGGCAAACATTTTGCAAAAAAAGTACTTGGACTATCTGTTATATTTGCAAGAAAACCGTTGCTCCTAAAATGTTTCGGCTAAAAAACCTAAAAGCTAGAATCTTAAATCTTTTCCCTTTTCAGGTTATTGTGAAGCCAAACTGCATCCAGGAGTACAGCACTTCAGAGATCGAGTTCAACGACTGCCGAAGCGTGACTTTCGAAGCGAAATCCGTCGACATGAGGAATTTGCGGCAGATTAACTTGAATCGAATCCAATCCATCGCTTTTACCGAAAACAGCATCAGTTGGTACGGCGATGTGAGAAGAGACAGCCAAGATGAACGATTTGACATCACTGTGCCTGCTCTCAAGGTCAGAGTTCGCGACAGTGTTGTCAGTTCTATCGCTAGTCACGCGTTCTCGGGAAAAATCAACGAAATCATCTTCGACGGAGTGACGTTTGATGAAATCCAACCGCTGGCTTTCTCAAATTTGCTCCAAACGGAAAAAATTGTGATAAAAAACTCAACTATACGTAGTCTAGGTGTATATGCATTTAAGAAGTTCGGTACAGAGATGTTAGACTTGAACGGTGTTGCCGCGGATTTAGTGCCTAGTAGAGCATTCTCTAATTTAAGGTATACCAAAGTTTCACTATAAATAATTGTAGCTTTAGTACGGTACGTTCTGACGGGTTTATCATCGAACAACCCACTTTATTCCAAGTGACACATTCGAACATTTCAAACCTAAACACCGAGGCTTTCAACGTTGCGGCGCGAGGTAAAGTCTTGTTCAAAAATAACACCTTTGGGATAGTGGGCGATAGGGCGTTCGATAAAATTACCAAAAAAGATGTTTTCGATAATCCTGATTTCATTTTCGACTCAAACACGTTCAAACATATTTCAAGATATTCCCTAACGATACACGATTTCGACGTGAAATTCAGAAATATCTTCATCAACGAGCCTTGTGATTGTAACAGCTTGGATCATAAAATAAAAGACACATACTATTACGAAGATATACAGTGTTTACAAGATGGCAACTACATAACGATCAAAGATTACAAATCGAGTATGTGCTCTGTGATCACGGATCACTATATCACTATTATAATATCCTGCGTAGTGGCTGTGTTGCTTATAGGCGTGATAAGTGCTTTAGCTCTGTACTATAAATTCGTATATATGAGCAAAAAATACGGCAGCAAAGACCAAAGCAACAAAAACGGGAATTTGAGTCTGATTGTGCCTGATGGTAGGACATATAGGGAAACAGAACTGCATGTTATTGTAGAAAGAACTGATCTCTTAACTACCGATTTGTGAACAGAGTGAATGTTTGATTTAGAGTGATTCTTATACAGTATTTATACATTTTGTTACCATTTCTTGTTGTGAATAAAAATTATAAAAATGTGTCGTTGGTATTTCAATAGCAGTTATGATTATCCTAAATGAATAAACTGCAGACAGTGATTGACAGCCAAGATGAACGATTTGACATCACTGTGCCTGCTCTCAAGGTCAGAGTTCGCGACAGTGTTGTCAGTTCTATCGCTAGTCATGCCTTCTCGGGAAAAATCAACGAAATCATCTTCGACGGAGTGACGTTTGATGAAATCCAACCGCTGGCTTTCTCAAATTTGCTCCAAACGGAAAAAATTGTGATAAAAAACTCAACTATACGTAGTTTAGGTGTATATGCATTTAAGAAGTTCGGTACAGAGATGTTAGACTTGAACGGTGTTGCCGCTGATTTAGTGCCTAGTAGAGCATTCTCTAATTTAAGGGTATACCAAAGTTTCACTATAAATAATTGTAGCTTTAATACGGTACGTTCTGACGGGTTTATCATCGAACAACCCACTTTATTCCAAGTGACACATTCGAACATTTCAAACCTAAACACTGAGGCTTTCAACGTTGCGGCGCGAGGTAAAGTCTTGTTCAAAAATAACACCTTTGGCATAGTGGGCGATAGGGCGTTCGATAAAATTACCAAAACAGATGTTTTCCATAATCCTGATTTCATTTTCGACTCGAACACGTTTAAACGTATTTCACGATATTCCTTAACGATAGACGATTTCGACGTGAAATTCAGAAATATCTTCATCAACGAGCCTTGTGATTGTAACAGCTTGGATCATAAAATAAAAGACACATACTATTACGAAGATATACAGTGTCTACAAGATGGCAACTACATAACGATCAAAGATTACAAATCGAGTATGTGCTCTGTGATCACGGATCACTATATCACTATTATAATATCCTGCGTAGTGGCTGTGTTGCTTATAGGCGTGATAAGTGCTTTAGCTCTGTACTATAAATTCGTATATATGAGCAAAAAATACGGCAGCAAAGACCAAAGCAACAAAAACGGGAATTTGAGTCTGATTGTGCCTGATGGTAGGACATATAGGGAAACAGAACTGCATGTTATTGTAGAAAGAACTGATCTCTTAACTACCGATTTGTGAACAGAGTGAATGTTTGATTTAGAGTGATTCTTATACAGTATTTATACATTTTGTTACCATTTACTTGTTGTGAATAAAAATTATAAAAATATGTCGTTGGTATTTTAATAGCAGCAAGTTATGAAGATTATCATAAATGAATAAATTGCAGAGAATGATTGACAGCCGAGATGAACGATTTGGCATCACTGTGCCTGCTCTCAAGGCCAGAGTTCGCGACAGTGTTGTCAGTTCTATCGCTAGTCATGCCTTCTCGGGAAAAATCAACGAAATCATCTTCGATGGAGTGACGTTTGATGAAATCCAACCGCTGGCTTTCTCAAATTTGCTCCAAACGGAAAAAATTGTGATAAAAAAACTCAACTATACATAGTCTAGATGTATATGCATTTAAGAAGTTCGGTACAGAGATGTTAGACTTGAACGGTGTTGCCGCAGATTTAGTGCCTAGTAGAGCATTCTCTAATTTAAGGGTATACCAAAGTTTCACTATAAATAATTGTAATTGTAGCTTTAATACGGTACGTTCTGACGGGTTTATCATCGAACAACCCACTTTATTCCAAGTGACACATTCGAACATTTCAAACCTAAACACCGAGGCTTTCAACGTCGCGGCGCGGGGTAAAGTCTTGTTCAAAAATAACACCTTTGGGATAGTGGGCGATAGGGCGTTCGATAAAATTACCAAAAAGATGTTTTCGATAATCCTGATTTCATTTTCGACTCAAACACGTTCAAACATATTTCAAGATATTCCTTAACGATACACGATTTCGACGTGAAATTCAGAAATATTTTCATCAACGAGCCTTGTGATTGTAACAGCTTGGATCATAAAATAAAAGACACATACTATTACGAAGATATACAGTGTTTACAAGATGGCAACTACATAACGATCAAAGATTACAAATCGAGTATGTGCTCTGTGATCACGGATCACTATATCACTATTATAATATCCTGCGTAGTGGCTGTGTTGCTTATAGGCGTGATAAGTGCTTTAGCTCTGTACTATAAATTCGTATATATGAGCAAAAAATACGGCAGCAAAGACCAAAGCAACAAAAACGGGAATTTGAGTCTGATTGTGCCTGATGGTAGGACATATAGGGAAACAGAACTGCATGTTATTGTAGAAAGAACTGATCTCTTAACTACCGATTTGTGAACAGAGTGAATGTTTGATTTAGAGTGATTCTTATACAGTATTTATACATTTTGTTACCATTTCTTGTTGTGAATAAAAATTATAAAAATGTGTCGTTGGTATTTCAATAGCAGTTATGATTATCCTAAATGAATAAACTGCAGACAGTGATTGACAGCCAAGATGAACGATTTGACATCACTGTGCCTGCTCTCAAGGTCAGAGTTCGCGACAGTGTTGTCAGTTCTATCGCTAGTCATGCCTTCTCGGGAAAAATCAACGAAATCATCTTCGACGGAGTGACGTTTGATGAAATCCAACCGCTGGCTTTCTCAAATTTGCTCCAAACGGAAAAAATTGTGATAAAAAACTCAACTATACGTAGTTTAGGTGTATATGCATTTAAGAAGTTCGGTACAGAGATGTTAGACTTGAACGGTGTTGCCGCTGATTTAGTGCCTAGTAGAGCATTCTCTAATTTAAGGGTATACCAAAGTTTCACTATAAATAATTGTAGCTTTAATACGGTACGTTCTGACGGGTTTATCATCGAACAACCCACTTTATTCCAAGTGACACATTCGAACATTTCAAACCTAAACACCGAGGCTTTCAACGTTGCAACGCGAGGTAAAGTCTTGTTCAAAAATAACACCTTTGGCATAGTGGGCGATAGGGCATTCGACAAAATTACCAAAACAGATGTTTACCATAATCCTGATTTCATTTTCGACTCAAACACGTTTAAACATATTTCACGATATTCCTTAACGATAGACGATTTCGATGTGACATTCAGAAATATTTTCATCAACGAGCCTTGTGATTGTAACAGCTTGGATCATAAAATAAAAGACACATACTATTACGAAGATATACAGTGTCTACAAGATGGCAACTACATAACGATCAAAGATTACAAATCCAGTATGTGCTCTTTGATCACGGATCACTATTATAATATCCTGCGTAGTGGCTGTGTTGCTTATAGGCGTGATAAGTGCTTTAGCTCTGTACTATAAATTCGTATATATGAGCAAAAAATACGGCAGCAAAGACCAAAGCAACAAAAATGGAAATTTGAGTCTGATTGTGCCTAATGGTAGGACATATAGGGAAACAGAACTGCATGTTATTGTAGAAAGAACTGATCTCTTAACTACCGATTTGTGAACTGAGTGAATGTTTGATTTAGAGTGATTCTTATACAGTATTTATACATTTTGTTACCATTTTACTTGTTGTGAATAAAAATTATAAAAATGTGTCGTTGATATTTCAATAGCAGTTATGATTATCCTAAATGAATAAACTGCAGACAGTGATTGACAGCCAAGATGAACGATTTGACATCACTGTGCCTGCTCTCAAGGTCAGAGTTCGCGACAGTGTTGTCAGTTCTATCGCTAGTCACGCGTTCTCGGGAAAAATCAACGAAATCATCTTCGACGGAGTGACGCTTGATGAAATCCAACCGCTGGCTTTCTCAAATTTGTTCCAAACGGAAAAAATTGTGATAAAAAACTCAACTATACGTAGTTTAGGTGTATATGCATTTAAGAAGTTCGGTACAGAGATGTTAGACTTGAACGGTGTTGCCGCGGATTTAGTGCCTAGTAGAGCATTCTCTAATTAAGGGTATACCAAAGTTTCACTATAAATAATTGTAGCTTTAATACGGTACGTTCTGATGGGTTTATCATCCAACAACCCACTTTATTCCAAGTGACATATTCGAACATTTCACACCTAAACACCGAGGCCTTCAACGTTGCGGCGCGGGGTAAAGTCTTGTTCAAAATAACACCTTTGGGATAGTGGGCGATAGGGCATTCGACAAAATTACCAAAAAAGATGTTTTCGATAATCCAGATTTCATTTTCGATTCAAACACGTTTAAACATATTTCAAGATATTCCTTAACGATACACGATTTCGACGTGAAATTCAGAAATATTTTCATCAACGAGCCTTGTGATTGTAACAGCTTGGATCATAAAATAAAAGACACATACTATTACGAAGATATACAGTGTTTACAAGATGGAAACTACATAACGATCAAAGATTACAAATCGAGTATGTGCTCTGTGATCACGGATCACTATATCACTATTATAATATCCTGCGTAGTGGCTGCGTTGCTTATAGGCGTGATAAGTGCTTTAGCTCTGTACTATAAATTCGTATATATGAGCAAAAAATACGGCAGCAAAGACCAAAGCAACAAAAACGGGAATTTGAGTCTGATTGTGCCTGATGGTAGGACATATAGGGAAACAGAACTGCATGTTATTGTAGAAAGAACTGATCTCTTAACTACAGATTTGTGAACAGAGTGAATGTTTGATTTAGAGTGATTCTTATACAGTATTTATACATTTTGTTACCATTTACTTGTTGTGAATAAAAATTATAAAATATGTCGTTGGTATTTTAATAGCAGCAAGTTATGAAGATTATCATAAATGAATAAATTGCAGAGAGTGATTGACAGCCGAGATAAGAAGTTTGACTTTAATCTTATTGATGCAAGATGTGGACGTCTAAAATTAGCATTATTTGGATTCCTATCTAATTATATAATATACGAACAAATCATAGAATTCATTGAAGAAACCAAAATTTTGATAAAAAATCAAGCTGGATTTAAAAAAATGTTCCACAGAAACAGCAATCCAAATGGTGGTGGAAGACTGGAGAAGAAGTATAGATGAGAAAGAATATATTGGAACAATACTTTTAGACTTCAAAAGGGCATTTGAGACTATAGATAGGGAAAAATTGTTAATGAAATTGCGTCACTATGGCTTTAAAGGATCAGTATTACACATTTTACAAAATTATTTAGTAGTAGTACTATTTATTATCTATACAAATGATATCTCTGACATTTTAGAACACTGCAAAGTTCAAATATTTGCGGACGATACACTTATATATATATATATATATACGTATATATATATATCATAAGCATTTGGACACTGCTTTAGACTGTTAAATAGTGATATTGAAAAAATTATGTATTGGTTAAATGTCAATAAACTTAAATTAAACACTAATAAAACAAAATGTATGTCAATAGGGAAACATTTATGTGACAATACAATTAGGCTCATGATTAATGATGAAAAAATTGAAGTAGTCGAGTCATTTAAATATCTTGGTATATATGTGGATAGTAAGCTACTGTTTCACGAACATTATGAATACATTATTTCAAAAATATCGAAAAAGATAAATTACTTCCATAAAGTTTCCCATAATCTTGGTATGTATTCCCAAAAAAAGTGGATAACACTATAATTCTTCCCTATTTTTTATATTGTTCAACCAGCTTGTTTACAGCAAATGAAAACATATTTTCAAAATTACAAATTCTACAAAATAAAACTATGAGAATCATTTTAAATAGAAACAAATATACTATGATAAAGTCTATGTTAGAAGAACTGCAGTGGTTGGATGCGAAAAATTTCATATATTATTTAGTTCTTGTTTTCATATTCAAATTAAAAAATCATTTATTACCACCACATTTAGAGAACTTCACAAAATTAAATAGTCATTATCATAACTACGAAACTACAGGCAGTATAGATTTTCATCTGCAAAATTGTAATAGTAGCATAACTAGTAAATCTATATTTCAAAAGGGAGTATTTGAATTTAATAAATTGAATAATGATATTAAACAAAGTTCGAATTTAAAAATGTTTAAGGTGTAATTAAAAAATCACTTTATGAATAATTAAAATACATAGTGACGTAATTTTAATTTTAATAGACAAGAATGTAAAATTATAGAAAACGGATTGAAGAAAAATATGTAACCGAATCATAAATCTTCAACAAACACAAAAAAAAATCTGCAATATCAGTTACCTTAAATCAGTTTACGTTTGGGATCCCTGCATTAAGATTGAGGTATCGTTTTAATGATGATAATGTTGAATTAAAAAAATATAGATAATAACAACAAGAGATACTCTTTAATTCCATTATATGAAGTAAAATAGGGACGATGTCTGCTTTTGGACTTGAAAAGTATTATTTGTAAGGCGTGAAAAAATGCAACACAGCATAAAATAAGGGCTTTCTAAGAGTGCTTATACTCGATCAATCAACACAGACAGTTTCAGAATAGATTGATTTATTACTCGCTTAATGCACCATAATCGATTTGAGGCCAAGTCATATTCATAAAGAATATCCAGTAGTAGTATCATCTGTACCAAGATTGACTCCATATTTGTTGTCGTCTAGAAACCTTAAATAAAGGGTTTTCCATTAAGAACTTGACAACTTTCATTTTAAATAAAACGCAAACCGTTTGAGATAACTCGAAAATTTTATTATTGGATTGAAGTGTACTCACAACATTCATGTATGGAATTCGACGTCGTGTATATGTCCACCCAATTTTCAATGACACATTTCGACATAAACGGCCGCTATCTCTCGTTCAATGTTGGCATACACAAATGATTTAATGTAGCACCACAAAAAAGTGTAGAGGTGTTAAATCACACGATCTAGGCGGCCATTCGACAGGTTCATTTCTCGATATAAAACGTTCACCGAATATTGATTTCAATATGTCGATTGTTTGGGATGATGGGAGGCCGAAGTCAACCCGGGTCTGTCTGGCAAGCACATCATGGAGGAGGGTTCTGAGGAGCAAAGCTCGTTGTCATAGCAGTAAGATCCCGAGACTGTCCATTAAAGAAGAATTACCCATGAGGCGAGCATCCCTTCTCTGAACAGCATAAAGCATGGGTAGTTTAGGCAGCAACCCAAACATATGAGCAGTGCTAGAAGCAAGGTCTTTGCCGCAACCAGCAAGCGGACTCAAAACATATTAGGATCTGGGAGAAATTCAGTGTCACGCTGATGAACATACATTCCTGACCGCGTGAGTTATTTTACTTTCGCGCTCACCTTCAAAAGTTACAAAAGTCCACAAAGCACAATACATTGTTGGAAAATGCGAGGATAAAGTCGTAATCGTTGACTCATCTATACTAAGTGACATATAAATCCGAACACCCAGCTTAAATGGTTTTATTTTAATAAAAGTTGGTGAATGTATTTATCTTACTGTAAATAAAAAGTGAAAAAATTTTCAGCCTTATCAGTTGGACATTCCGGTTTTTATACTGCTTTTTTTAATTCACTAACGCTCTAAAAATGAATATTTCAGCCGCAGTAAAGAATCAACGTTGGCGGATTTTGGTTCTTGACATCCTTTACGATCGGTTACGATGCCTAGAGTACGGAGACCTGTACGATTTCGTCAACTTAGTGAGTTTGATAGGGGCCGTATAGTGGGACTTCGGGAAGCTGGACTTTCTTTTCGGGCAATTGCAGTTAGAGTGCAAAGAAGTGTAGACACTGTGGTTAGGTGTTGTCAGGCATGGCTTCGAGAAGGCCGAGAAGGAGCACTGGACGCCGCCGTAGAACAACAGACCGTGAAGATCGCCGCCTAAGATTATTGGCCTTAAGGGACCGTTTCTCCACTACCAGGTCCATTGCAAATGAATGGTTTGCAGAACACGGAAGACCTATTGGCATGCGAAGTGTTTACCGACGAATGAGAAGTTTTGGCTTGTTTTCATACCGGCCACACTGGGTCCTCCCTTTAACTCGAGAACACCGACGTAATCGCCTTGAGTGGTGCAGACAACGGTCACTCTGGGATCAGGAATGGAACAGTATTGTCTTTAGTGACGAGCCTCGATTTTGTTTAGGCATGCACGATGATCGTGCCAGGGTTAGACGGCGACGTGGTGAAAGGAGGAATCCACAGTTTTTTGTTGAAAGACATGTTCATCACACTGTTGGAGTTATGGTTTGGGGTGCTATAGCTTATCAAATCCACACTCTCTCCTCTAATGTAAACAGAGTTAGTCGTACAAAAAATTCCTTATGTGGATTGGTCTGTTTTTTTTGCGCTAGGTGCGAATAAATAGAATCCTCTTTATTCCTATTGGTTGAGCTATAAAAGACGATCGTATTGATTGACGAATCAGCGTCAAACATTTTTTGTGTGTTATCACTAGCTTGTAGGTTAAGTGTTCACCGTTTACAATATTCGCTTATACAGATAGCATAATTTCAAAAGTGGTCAGTTGCAATTTTCTAGTTGCTTATCAACCAAAAATGTCGTTTTATAATTCCACAATCTATTCGTCTATTCGTCATTGTTTGCCAGAGCGGTCCGTAGGACCTTGGTAATTTGGGATTGGTTGTTGAAGAAAAATTATAATTTTGGTTGGACCCAAAGTCGCATGATTTAATTTTGTTCACAATGCGAGTCGCGGCCTTGTGTGCTTGCGAACTTGCTCGACTGTGTAGTTTACTGACTCGCGCAACAAAGGGTTGTTATGCGATTCCGCTTGACTATAACGTAGCTGCGCTTGTTGTTTGATGTAGTCCCTTAGGTAAGTGATGTCAAGGTCTCTGTGAAGGGTCTCGTTGGAAACGGGCATTAGTGATTGTACGCAAGGTTCTGTTCTGCAAAACCTGCAGGCTACGCAAATGCGTTTTGGCGAGAAAACACCAAGCCGCACTTGCGTAAGTGATCGCTGGTCTAATAACCATCTTGTATAGCCGAACTTTGTTGATCAAACTTAATTTTGATGTTCTACATAGCATAGGGTAGAGTTGCCGAAACGCGATTTTTAATTTAGCTTTTAATGCTTCAGTGTGCTTCTGTCAGGTCATCCCATTGTCAAGAGTGACACCGAGATACTTAGCAGAACTTTCTCATGGTACCCGAGCTCCATTCACTGAAACCTCAGATGGGGCGGCGCTACGTTTTTTAGTACAATAGATTGCCTGCGTTTTCGAATAATTAATTTTGATCAGCCACCGATTCGCCCATTCCAATACCTCGTCCACTGCACTTTGCAGCCTGTCGTGAACTAGATCCCCAGAGCACGACTGG